GTGCCAAAGGTTTCCCTTCCTTTCAGCCAGCAAGCCATGCCTGGGTCCCACACGACGAGGACAGGGTGCGCAAGGAGCTGCCAGTCCTCCCCGCTCCCCTGGGACAGTCTCTGGGGTGTACAGACAGTTTCCAAAGAGATTGGTGCGCCTCCGGAGGGGAGAGGGGTGGGTCTAGCTCAGAAGACTTGGCAAGGGGGGGGTCATAACGGAGGAGGTGAAGTGGGTGCCGAGGGTCAGGGAGCTTCTCACCCGCCGCCTGCCCAGCATGGCAAAGGACCAGTCTGAGCTGTGCTCCTGGCTGCTGCAGGTGGAGGAGCACCGCTCTCGGTCTGCGCCGGCAGCAGCCGACGCCGCTCCGCATCGTCCTGCCCAGCGCCGTCCTGAAGCGCTCCCCAGCGAAGACGTAGAGGAAGGGGTTGAGGCAGCTGTGGAGGAAGGCAATGCTCTGGGTGACCTGCAGCCCGATGTCCAGGCGGTCAGCAGCCTGACAGCTGTACGCCAGCCTGGTGTAGCTGTTGATGGCTTTGATCAGCAAAACAACATTGTAGGGGAACTGAGAGAGGAGGAAAGCGGTGATGATCATGGTGATGATCTTCAGGGACTTCTGCTTTTGGGATCTTCTGGCTTGCAGGAGGGTGTTGATGATAAGAGTGTAACAAATAACCATGACAAGGAGCGGGAGGAAGAACCCAATTGTGACTTTCAAGGCCAGGACCGTAACTCTGAAGGTCACGCTGACGTTTGGTGGGTACGTAAGTTTGCAAACCGTTACGTCACCCACACGTGCGCTCTGGCTGTAGATGATTTCTGGGATGCACAGGCTTATGGACGTCAGCCAAACAGCCAAGCACATGAGTTTGCTGCGCAGGAGCCGCCTTCGCTTAGAAGTTTTAGCTTTTGTCACCTGGACAATAGTGATGTACCTGTCAAAGCTGATGCAGGTTAGAAACAAGGTGCAGCCGTAGAAGTTGATCTTATACATGCTGTTGACGACTTTGCACATGAAGTTCTTGAAGATCCAGCCATCGGAGGCAGCTTTGGCCCAGAACGGGAGGGCGAAGAGGAGGAGCAGGTCTGCAATGGCCAAGTGCAGCAGGTACCGGTCCATCATGCTCCTCCTGAAGCGGTGCTTGCAGTAGACAAGCATGACCAAGGCATTTCCCACCGTGCCTACTGAGAAGATGATCCAGAAAAACACCGGCAGGAAGGCTCGAGCGAACTGCCTGACCTGCCTTTTGTCGCACGTTAAGTCCGTGGCATTCACCGGGCTTCCATACAGAGACAGCACTGTGCTGTCATTCCTGTAGTAATCCAGGCTGGTCTTGCCAGGGTGACTGACCTGTAATGGGACATCAGGTAAATTTGTGTTGAGAGGTGGCTCAGTGAAGCATAAATTTGCCCCACTCCACCAGAAGCAGTTGAAAATCCCCAACATATTCCATTTTAGATGGGAAAGTGCAAAGGCTGCCGGCAAAACACAGCAGGTTTCAGAGTTCTTGAAGGGGGTGGCAGAGCACAGACAGAAAAACGACCCGTTGAGTAACAAACTCTTTACAAAGGAGCAGTTCATAGCCTCCAGCCAACTTCAGTTATTAAAATGGCAGGTGGTGGGAGCATTTTCTCTGCCGGATCATTCAAAAAACTGTTGGTTTGGCAGCTTCAAATACATCACAAAATGCAAAATTTCCAGCTTGGGAAAGGTGGGGGAGAAAGCTTTGTAATTACTGCTGCGGTGGGACAGCGCTGTTGGCTCGAGAGAGGCAGAAGAGTGGCGGAGGCAAAAGGGGGGTGGGGGGGAAAACGGCGATCACACAGCAGCTATGCGGTATACTCACTATGCTTGCAACTGCCATCTTCAGCCAGGTCTTCACTCAGTCTTGAAAGAGACAGTGCAACCTGGGGAGGAAAGACGGGGTGGAAACCACTGATTTGAAACAGTGACTTGAAACACTGATGTGAAGTAGAACTGTGACTCTTTTCTTCCTCCTTCTTCTAAAACAACACCCTCAACCCTTTGAAATGAGTCTGGTTGAGAGAGGAACAAACCATGAAATTGATGTCACTGCTTTGAATTATTGAGGTTTCCATTTTACAAATTTACAATTTGCCCATATTAGGTCTTTGGCTTCTGTATGGCTCTGTGCTGATTAAGTCCTTGGACTGACTAGAGTCACTGAGATCTCATTTTCAATGAGATGTAGAGCCCCCAGGGCACACATTAAAAAAGGAAGTCGTCTGAAAGCACCGTATCTCCTGAAAGATTCGTGAGAATAAACAGAATGTGTCTCAAACGGTCTGGCTGCTAACGAGGAAAAGTACCTGCCTTTCGTAGTAGTTTGCAGCCTGTGTTGGGTTCGTGTGGCGGGGTTTTGGTAGCCTACAGCCCGGGGAGGACCCCACACCGGAGGAGTTGGTGGAAGACTGTCTCCCGTGGGAAGGACCCCATGCTGGAGCAGGGGAAGAGTGTGAGGTGTCCTCCTGGCAGGGCCTAAACCACAGAGCAGTGTCAAAATATTTACATCCTCTGCAGCGACTGATAATCTCTGCCTGCAACATCTCTTTCTTACAATGCTCATCGCTGTTGGCCTGTGAAGCAGGACATTACACCCCGGTAAACAAGACAATACGGGTTTTTCCGGCTGCAGATTGCTTTTCAAGTCCATCTGCCACCACAAATGGTGGGCTCTCCACAGGAATCACACACCCCTAAATATTCAGCATATTCTGCCCCAGCTGCCTGGGCTAGTGCCTGGGAATGAAGCCTGGGACAACGTGAGGTGGGTCCCGTCGGTGCTACCGGGGACCTTGAGCTGGCACAGACCTTTCCTCTGGACATCGGTGCCTTCAGAAGCAGGTCACGCAACCGAGAGGTTGCCTCGCAGAGACAAACATCCCACCGCAGCAGCAGCTGGACGGAGCCGAACATCCTCCGTGGGAAAACGGCCCACGCTCACGCTCAGGCTTCGCCCCGGTTGCTTGTTGCACACTGACTAAAAGCAGCACCTGCCACGGTATTATCTGGGGCACGGACCGATGCAGCATGCAGTTTGCCTCCCCAGCCGGCGTCAGGGTTAGCTGCGCTAGCAAGCTTGTCAGCAAAGCCGGTTTACTGTAAGAGGCTGCTTTTAGGGATGGCGAGTGTGTTTGCTGCCATGTCTCTGTTGTGGCACCCTCTGGCCCAAACCGATCCCTTCGCCTGCTCTTGGTGCTGGAGCGAACGCTTGCAGCATGTATTTGTAGGGCTTTGGAAACTAGTCTAACTAGATTAATGCAGTTAATTAATTAGTCAACTAATTAATGCAGTTGTCTTCATATGTTTAAAAAATTACGGTGTTCAGGAAGCACAGATTAGGGGCTAATTTTTCCGTCTTTTAACTTCATGAAGCAACTTCAGTGCATATGATCTATTTAGGAGCGAGGTTGGCAGCATGAGATCTTTGCAGTGAGAGAACATGAGTCTAGGCACAGAGTATTTGCTCAAAAATAGACTGAAGAAATAAAAACAGTCATAGATATGTGCTCTTAGTTTTTAAATTTTCTATCAAGACACAGAACTACATGGAGAATTATGCTGTCACCTGGATTTTCAAGTGCAGATATACCTGTAGTACCTGGCTTTTAATGATGCCACCCCTACCCTGTGCATAGTAGCTGAATTTCTGATGGGCAAAACTCAAAATATATTTTTATTTGACTTCTTTTCAAAGCAGACAACCAAGGAAAGCAAATGGCCAAGGCATACTAATGCTACAGTGTAGCACAGGATTTACGCCAGTAAAAAACAGGCAAGCAGATAGAAAGAAACCACCTGTATAATACCTATAAATGGGATATACCACATGTAAATACTCAGATGCAGAAATTAAGACCAGCCATAGCCAAGGTCTGGTGGCTACAGCTACCTTGTCCCACTCCCTGTCCCCATCCCTATCCCCATCTGGCTCCATCCCAGGCAGCAGCGTGGGTGCAGGCAGCGATGCAGCACCCACCCCGGCCCCCTTGTCCCAGGGAGGGTCACGCACGTCATGATAAACGCAGGGAAAGCCGAGCTGGATTCTGAGGAGCGATGCGTCGCCACCTCAGCAGCAGCGCGCGGGAAGGAGGGTGCTAACCACAGCGGCTGCTGGTGACGGAGTTCGGCTTTGTCCTTGCTGCTGCGCTTGTTGCGGGTTATGTTGATAATAACGGTAACGCAGGGCTCGATACGGGGAGCTTTCGGGTGTTCTAGCCAGCGCTTGGGTCTCTTCTACGGTGAACTTCACAGCACGCTAAAAGCTGATGAGCAACAGGCCATGCCTTGAGATGAGGAGGGGCTGCTCGTTAATGAAAATTAATTTGATCCCTTTTTGCTTATTTTGGGGGAGAAAAAAGCACTTTCAGGAATCGCTGTGCTAAGCGGGGGTCTCATCCTCCACAGCTATCCAGCAACATCAGACCTGCCGCGCTCCACCTGCTGCGACTCCTCGCTTCAGAGGCTCCGCAGCGAGCCAAAATCTCAGACCAGCGGGGCCGGAGAGTCCCCATCACAACGGTGCGAAGGGTCGTCGCGGCTGAGACCTGTCACGTACGACCCAGCGGTGACTGGGGCCGGCAGCCGGCGGTCAGCGAGCTACGGGCTCCTTCCAGGTACCAAAATACCATCGCATCATCTGCTGAAGGGTGCAGAGCTGCGTACCCACCGGGTGCTTTTTAATGTTGTTTTTCTTTCAGCCGTCAGACCTACCTTAAATTGCAGGCGAAAAGATCGTGGTCACTGGGCGAGTTCAGTGGCAAATGTGTAATTCGGTTTCCTTTCCAGGGAGGCTGCACGTGGGAAACTCGGGCATGAGGAGCAGAGGAGGGGGCTCCCCGGCCCACCAGCTGCAGGATCAGCCCGGCCGGCACAGCCAGCGATCCCAGCGCCGCACGCCGTGTTTGCTCTTTGCGCCCACGATTACGCGTTGGGCTTTTCGTAGAGCGGGGTGGGTGTGTGCTCCCCGGACCCCAGCCTAATGAGACCTGTCACGGGCTGCTTTCTCTGTGGTTTGCATGGTTTGGGTGGCTCAGACACAGATGGCAATCTTCTCCTTTTTTTATTTGTTCTTTGTTTCTCTTTCCTGGTAAGCTGTTTTGATAGCAAAGGGGAGACTTCTTGTACCATCACTCTGCTCATGTTCGTTATCTATCACAGGGCAAATCAGAGGCTGCTCCCAGCGTCGCCATCCTGCTGGAAAACACTTTTACTGGGGGAAAAAAATCCCCAGATAAGAACTGGGTCCCCCTGGGGAGCCACCAGCCTTCCCTGGGGCAGCTGGGAGAGGGGCGAGGAGCCAGATCCAGCCCTGCCCACTCGGGGCTGACGCCCAGGCGCGGCTCCCCACGGCCGCCCGGAAGCG